GAGATTGCTCTATACGTCCGCAAAATGACGTAAAATCCTTTATAATTTACGGACAATCCGTACAAGTTGACATGTATGTTGTTATTTATTTGCTTTCTGGGAAAGCAAATAAATCTAAGGTTACCATAGTACCTTACACTGTCAAACTTGTTTTCAGGGGTTCAAATTGAGGTGGGTGGGACATATTTCGAGGTGGGGTGGTGCTTCAACTCGCCTAGGGCACCAAAATGGCTAGAGCCAGCACTGTAAAGATGTATGTGTTAAAAGCCTTCTCTTAAATCTCATTTTGTGATGGATGTTTGTGTCTCCTCCAGGCGTTCACAGGCAGTCCCAGGACCTCTCAGGGTACTACTCCCTCCCACCAGGTGGTGTCGGACAAATCACTCCCTCCATGAGCTGGTGAGCTGCACAAATTAACTGTTCAAGACGAGAAGTCTCGAAGCTCAACCTCAAAATACGATTTTTTTTTAATTAGAGGATTCTGTGAATAAAAACAATAAACTTCATCAAACATAAAAGGCATAAATCAAGTTCTTATAAAATATCAATCAACAAATAAGAGTAAAATAGCTGATAAACTGAAAAATGTAGTTATTGCCTTAAAATGTCTTTGGTAAGCATTTAATGACATTATTTGGTCATTTTTCATGTTGGAAAAGCTTTTAAAAAACTCCAGGCCTTGTGGATTTTTGGGTGGGGTTTTGTGGTTTGGGCTTGGTTCTTACAAATAACATCAGACTCCATCAGATCAGGGAAGATAAATATTAGGCAACTGGAGTTTTTATTTWTTTATTTTTTTCTGTTTCAAGCCAGAAAAATGACTTTTCCTCTCCTAAACTGTAGGCTGCTAAATCAACACTCTCAAGCCCAGAAAAACTTTGTTTTTTATGGTTTGATAATTTAGCAGGAAGGAAATGTGGAGCATGTGGACATTTTTAACRTTTTACCAACACATAACTATAGTTTTTTTTTTTTCAAATGTGGGGAATTCTGCAAACTGAGGACTTTGATTTCAACCCTGCTTTTTTAATAAATWCAAAAAACAGCTTGAAATCTTTAAATCCAAATGTGTCCTGCGGTTTTTATCAGTGATACTTTTACTTCTGGAGTCACCGCCGAAGTTCTGCAGAAAAAAAGCTAAAACAGTCCCATCTGTTCCACCTTTTTCTCATTTCTTATCAGGCTTTCAGAGCTGATTGTGAAATAGAAGTGTCACGATGGCTGATGGTTAATTTATAATGTCAGACTTYCACTGATTTGTGGATTATTACAGCCGGGGAGGATCTGTGCCGTGTGTGCTGTGGACAAATCCTCACAGGAATAGTTAAAAGCTCACATCAAATGTCACAGAGATTTAAGGAGAAAAGCTTTTTTTWAAAGTTGTGTTTTATTTACATGTTTGTGCCTGCTTTTCCTCTCTGTGATTTTCAGACGTTTTATCATCTTCAGACAAGAGCACTTCAGTGTGGATTTTCACAAGTATTATTAGCAGATAATCTCCTTTAACCCAGATTATCTGCTTGTTTTGAGCTCTTGGAGTGAGCTCCTTTGTTGGAAGGAGGCGGCGGGGAGGACCGTGGAGAAGGAGTGGTTAAATGTCAGACTGTTGTTATTTTGTTGTTTTAACTTTT